GGTTTTAATGTCACAGCATAACAGGGTTAAACAGAAAATAAGAGACAAACTTTAGGGAAAACTAAGTGCTTTTGTGAAAACTACATGTGCAAGCATGATATTTCAATAAATTCAATAAAAAATGGCTAATATTCCATTCCAATTCTCTTTTTTTTTTTACATATACACTCTAAATTAATTATCTATCTATTAATCTAATCTATTAATTATTATTAATTATTAAACAGTGTTGAATACAGAATTTACTAAGTATACTTCAGTATGCTGTTAATAACATCAGTCATAGCACAGAAACTTCTGCATTTCCTGACAGTGACCCTATGACTAACAGATTAATCTTTCGCAAAACAAAAGAAAAAGTCTGAAAGATTAGCAGACTGTCATCCGAAATCAATAACACGATATAGAGAATTTAACATTATCCAGTAGAGCTTTACTTGCAGCCCCAGTATTGTCACCTCAGTATTTTCACAGGATTTCCATCACACTTCTTAGAAAGGCAATATGTTGGTTGGTCTCTGGTTTTTGTAACATCAGTCCACTCTAGACTATTTTTAGAGTTAGTTTGTCGTACTCTTCAAGATGTGATGTTATATTCAGCTTTTATTGATTCTCAAGAGCTAAAACTGTCAAGATGATGAAATCCAGTCTCAGATTAAACTGTAATAAATTACTGCTCTTCCTTCCAAACTGTGTATTGTATTCTGCAGTGTTTACTGTGGTGCAGTGTTGGAAAAAATCTGTAACAGTCATAAATGACAAATTACAACTGTGAACTCACAGCATCATTGATTCCAAATTCCCTTTAAGGCAGTGGTTCTCAACCTTTTTTTTACCCCAAGGCCACTGCATATAACTGTGATTCATGATTCCAGAAGTTTCAAGGACTGTTAGTCTGCAAAATCAATATTTGAGGAGGCAAATTAAAATAATGTCAGTTTTTCACAATTATTTACAACAGGATCTGCATTTTTATGTCGGTTAGAATATTAGAACGGAAAAACATTGACGTAACACAATCATGTACATCAATCACTTTACTGAATACTATGAAATAAAAAATTATTACCTTTCAAAATATTACCTTTTATCTGTTTTCAAATCCACATTATTTGAAAATCACAGCATCGATGTCTGTCAAAAAATAACATGCACAATACATGGTAGTATTTATGAGAAGCAGAGGTCCAGGGAGTGCATGCATTTCCTGAAAACCCCACTTTACCTGATGTTTTGACAACGTCAGTGCGTTCTGAGAGAAGGTGAAAATGGCGACCTAAGCAGCTTCCACATGCTGTCTGTCAGAGATCGTAACATACACAATACATGCACATGAGTATAAATTTGTTTTTGTTCTTCTGAAATTGAAAGGTGATTTTTACTTTTCTCATCTTCTAAGCTGTTGAAAAGATTAGTTTTAACACTAAGCATCATATAAACCCGGTTTTAGGAATCCTTAGGAACATATGGCTGTCTTGTCATTTTGATTGCAGATCAATAATAATCACACAGCAGACTGTTGACAATTCAAAATGCAGCTAAAGACTGATTATCTTTTCTAAAGAGATAGCAATGTGGCATGTAACTGCGTACAATGCAGCACATCATGTACTTGTCATGATCTCCAGCTGCAGTGCCCATGAGCTCCTCTAGAGGGCACTCCATTCTTTACCTTGCCATTCACTCAGAACTCCATTTCCCATAATCCTTTGCCCGGTCTCATCAAGTGCATCACCTGTCTCTCATCAGATCTCATCATCAGTTCACAGCTGTCTCACATTAGGAGGACTATAAGAATAGCACAAACACTCTCTGTCATCGCTGGTGATTAAATGTTTAGCTCTTCTGTGTTTTCTAGTGTCCATGTTCCTAAGTTTTGCCTTTCTCGTGTTTTGACCTTGGACTGTTTATTGGATTGCTCTTTTGTCTCGCCCTGGATTGTACCTGTTTGCTGGTGTTTGACCCTGTCTTGACCACTCTTGTGAATAAAAGCTGCATTTGCATCCTCAACTCTGTTATCACTACGCCTCCATCATTACAGTACTATTGCAACAGACTCATAACTATTTTACATTTTGGCAAATTTATTTTAATTTGTATGATCTAAGTTGTTCGTTTTTGTACAATCCGCTTATATCCCACTGATGGTTATATTTAAGGGAGGACCTTTATGCCTACTTTTTTCAGAAAAGCATACATTTTCCTACAATTCACATTGTATGATTTTATATTTAATCGCCACCTTGCAAAATAGTTACATTTTCCTGTGAGATTGGGTTGACTATTGCAACAAGGCAATACAATATTAAATGTACAAATACACACTTGAAGGTTCAAGCAAGAGAAAATGATCATTATTAAACTGAAGTAGTTGCCATGAGGTTGCTAAGGTGTTCTGGGTGGTTTGCATTCTGGTCCAAGACAAAAAACTCCCCCAAGTCTCTGTGGTCTCTAGATACGCTATGTACAGTAAGTGTTTGTTTTTGTTTGTTTGTTTTACTTGTTTGATTTGTTTGTTTGTTTTTGTTTGTTGTCCACTAAGTTAAATATTGCAATAACCCTTAAAAGTATAGTTCATCCAAAAATAAAATAAAAATTGTCATTTAGTCACCCTCATGTTGTTTCAAACCTGTGCGTTGAACAAAGAAGATATTTTGAAGAATGTTGGTAACCAATGAGTTGCTGGCAGCCGTTGACTTCCGTAGTATTTTATTTTTATTTTTTATATATATATACTATGGAAGTCAATGGGAACCATCAACTGTTTGGTTACCAGCATTCTTCAGAATATCTTATTTTGTGTCCAACAGAAGAAAGAAACTCACTGGTTTGGAACAACTTTGGGGTTGAGTAAATGATGGCACAATATTCATTTTTGGGTGAACTATCACTTTAATTTGATTTTCAAAGAAGGTTCTGCTTGGAATAAAGTATCACAATTCAAGGCCAGGTTATGCTGTATCATTTTTCTGGAACCACGAAGAACGAGACAAATATGTTCCAGTTGACAGCCATGCAGTTTATGTCAAGGACTAAATCACTCACCACTTTCTTAATTTTTTAAGAAAACACCATAAACTTAATTGACATGTCAAATGCATCCATTCCCTCTGCGATCTCTTTTCTCGTTTCATCATCATTTCTCGTTTCATTCATCAGGGTAAGTGTGCTGACTCTGGCTCATATTGAAGATCAATATGGGGACAAATGTCCTGCATGACTTGCCTGGACTCACATTAGCACTTTGACCTTTATTATAATAAGCTGGAAGGGTTGTACAAGATGTGCAAGCAGCACAAACTGAATGTCTGTAACATTAATTTACAAGCAGTTCTGATCAAAACAACACTGAAGGAGGGACTGAAGTATCTTTTGTCTTGGCCCAGTAAGCGATCACTTAAAAACCACCTAGTACATCCAGCTACCAAGAAAACTCTAGAAACCACATAGAAATGCCCTAGCAAACACCCAGAACACCTTAATAACTACATAACGTTAAAAAGGACTAAACACCTACCAATTGTAAAGTGATGCCCTGGCAACCACATAACATGTTAAAAAAAACATTCAGAATCCCTTACAACTGCATATCAACATCCTAGCAATCAACCAGAACACCCTAGCATGCACACACAAAATGTCCTGACAACCACCCAGAACGTCTGCAACAACACAACAACATGCTAAACATTACTTATAACAGCCACATAGCAATGCCCTAGCAACCAACCAGAACACCTTTACAACCTAGTAGATACATGTTAAATGACTCAGAATATCTAGCAACTGCAGAGCGATGCCCTGGGAACCGGCTAGCAACACCCTTACAACCACATGGTTGCACTCTAACAACCACCTAGAAACCACATACCAATGTCCTGGAAACCACCTATAATACCAAAAAATCAGTGAGCAGTGAGTTTTAAAGAGGCAAACAATAATACAATACCCTAGCAATCACCTAGCAGTGCCCTAGCAACTACCCATAACTACTAAGCAACTACACAGCAACATGCTACCAATAACTCAGAACAACTAGCAGCTGAATAATGAAAACTTGGCAACCACCCAGAACACCTTGTAAACCACATTACAGCATGTGAAAAACAACTCAATACACCTAGCAACCATGTAGCAACACCCTGTCAATGGCCCACTACCCGCTAACAACCAACTAGCAATGAGCTACCAACTTCCAGAACACCCTAGAAACCATATAGCAACACCATAGCAACCACCCAGTACACCATAACCACATAAAAAAGTGTTAAAATAACTCAGAAAATCTTGTAACTGCATAGAGATGCCTTGGCAATCACCTAGCAACAACACAGCAACACCCTACCAACCACCTCAAACACAACAACCGCATAGCAGCTGCATGTCAAAAACAACTCAATACACATAGCAACAGTGTAGAAGTGCCCTGGCAACCCCTCACAACCCCCTAGCAACCACCTAGAAATGCCCTAGCAGCTTCCAGAACACCCTAAAAACCCTATAGTGACGTCCTAGCAACCACCCAGCATACTTTAAACGCATAAATGGGAAAACAAATAACTAGTAACTCCATAGTGATGCCCTGGCAACCACCTAGCAACTACCAAGCAAGCACACAGCAACACCCTAACAACAATCCAGAACACCTAGCAACCACATAGCATGGTTTTGTAGACACAAACATCATGGCAGTGAGTTTTGTCCAGGCAAACAATACTACAATACCCAAGGAAACATTTGGAACACCATAGTAACCACATAGCAACTTGATAAAACTACCCAGGATACCTAGCAAATGGTATAGTGATGCCCCGGCAACCAACCACAACACCCTAACAACATGGCGGTAAATTTTGCATAGGCAGACAGTACTCTAATACTTGTCACAACACAATGAAATGGACTAATTTATGAATTCCTCAGTGTGTTTCAGATCACACAGAAACATAATCATGTAAAAGGGTGTAAATGGGCACTAAGGAAATGGTGCTTTTAACTACCTTCAGCAAACGCTTGTCACTCTTCAGGCACCTGGCAACCGCAGAGCTCCAGCAGAATTGATTCATCCAAAGAGAATCCAGGTGTTAATTAATGGCGGCCGGGCAGAAGGAGCCAGATAGCAAGCAACAGGATCATGACGAGGCGGCCAGCTGACATTTGCCATGTCTCTTAGCAACACCATATTACTTCTGTGATAGGTCTGCTGCGCATGTTACTCACACAGTGACAAGTGTTCATTCCATCATAAACAGCCAGGGCTTTTTTTTTTACTCAAAATGGACTCTATTTAATTTCTTAATACATGTTTCGGGTCTTATTTTGCACAATTTATTAGTGTATGTTATTCCAAAAATTAATAATAAATGTCTGTCTTCATAATCCTTTTCAAAATGTAATAACTTGGTCTGCCTCTCAAATTACTTTCCTTTTTGGCTGATTTCAGTGTGCCTATCATTAAACCCTTCCTATCCACCACCTGGCTCCCAATGAGGTCATATAGGAGTTTCCACAATAATAAAAAAAACTTTTTGAAACACAAGAGCAAAGTTCTCACAAATGTACTCTTTGCATTAATGTTGGTTTTATATATGGGTTTGAAAAGCTTTCATACTATTTTCAAGAAAAGTTTCAAATAATTGAACGTGGTGTGACCATCAAAAAGTAAAACCATATTTTTCTGAACACCTTGAATAGATAGATGTCAGTGTGCATGTTAAGTATTTTTATTTGTACAAAAGTGAACATAGTTTTAAATTAAAAAATATTAGAAATTATTAATGCATTAAAGGAATAGTTCATGCAAAAATGACAATTTGCT